TTTTCTAACAATGTGGCATTGGTTGTGATGATCATTTGATGTCTTATCGTTTTTACAATACACTCATTGCACAGCAGCACAAAGTTTTCATTTATAAGTGATTTCTTGTTAACTTCTTCAATTCTGCTCTTTGATGCACAACACTTTTCATTTTTCACTTTTTTTCGGGGTAAAGTTGTCGTTTATCATTTCTGGTGAGTTTCTTTTTTCGCCATGCGTTGACTCCTCTCATATCGTTCGTTATCAATGTGCAAAGGATCATAAAACACTGTACACTTGCACTGGGTTTTCTTCTAGATGCTAACGTGGGTAGAAAATCGCATCGTAACGAGCGTAAGAAATCTGTTAGAGTGAGGGGTATGGATTCTGGGTATGGGATGAAATCCGATTTGAATCCTACAGTAGGGTGGGCGACACAAGAGTTTGCTATTAGCAGCTACTGGCAACAAGACTTTATGTTAAACGTCCATGCGCTATGTATCCTCATCAACTGACTAGTCCATCAATTTGAGCTACCATCGAGCTTTTCTTTTGCTTAAATTACCTCATTTTCAGATTTTTATTGGAAAAACGATTGGTTTTAGTCGAAATCTGATACATCATTGAAAGGTGATATTTCATTATCTATTGATAGTGTAAGTAAGTTGATGAATTTGTGTGAAAATTTTTCATGAAATAATTCAATTGACTACATTGTACTCTACATCTCAATCAGTAATAAAAATTCCATTCGATGACTACTGCAACACCAACGAAGTATTATTTTTGTCCCATATATTCCTTAGAAAGTGTTCAGGGCTTTTTATGACGGTCAACGTATTTGCTCAAGGGTATTGAAGTGATAATGTGTTATTCAGATGGTTAACGTGAAGAAAGGTACACTGGTGAGATGTGATCCAGCGATGCGACAGCTACTCGTTCATTTGGATGAATCCAGAGCGTTGGGTTCGAAATTCGTCGTCAAAGAGCTCGACGAGACGCACATTTTCGTCGATAAGGAGATCATACCTATTCTGGAGCAAAAACTCGATCAACTCATGGAGACTTTGTCTCCCGATCACACCGAGAAATGAATCGGTGTGCTAACTGCCTACTGTACATGTG